CGAGACATATCACAAGTGCAGTGTGAGCCAGCGAGCCATGACGTCACGACAATAGATAGAGACGTTAGCCAGTTGTGCGAGGTATCGACTGAGATTTGTGGAGTACAATTCAAAAAACAACTATAGGTTTAATAATGAATTAATGTGATGTTAAATAGACAATGTTAGCTATCAAAGAGCGACGTTGTTTTTCATTGGGACCTTCGTCCCTTCAAGGCTAGGCCTATATACCATCCTAGCTAGTCAAGGTCTAGAGTAGGATAAGGCTAGCGCGACATGCGGACGTTGGTACGAGTATGCAAACGTCGCCTAAAGTAATTGATTTTACCCGGCAGAACGAAAGAAGGAGACTCCACTTTTCAGTCGTCTTAGGCGCTCGTTTTTTGACAAACAATGACCTTTCAGAAGTCAAATTGCTGTCGAGAATATGAATTGGCTGCTTCGCAGCAATTAAAATTATCATTATGGTTTGATGTTGCTCAATGTTTGTACAGAGTATCAAACAAACAATGGTATCTCTGAAGTTTAGTTATCGCATTCTGATGACCACATATCTGAAGTTCGATATCAAATTGCTGTACTTCCATTGTGTTGCTATCTTAAATTGTGCCATCAGTAATCGAATTTGTTTTGGTAGTTTCAAGTGAACCATGACTTCATGTTACCGTGACAAAGTGAATTTGTCGTATTATTATTATTATGCCTATATCTGTATGTGTATAAGTTTGGACAAAATTAGGTCTCGGGGGAATTAGGCCTAATTAGATATAATTCATTCATGCATTGATGATTGATTGAATCACAACCTTATATTATACTGTCTATAATAAAATCTGTCAAAACACTAAAAATTCAATTTTAATTGATATACGTTCTTAAGCCCTACCCGGACTGAAATTTCATATGACAAAAACGTGTGACATCCCGTAATAAAGTCATAATGACATCACATCCTGTCCTGACCATATATGGGTACACCATGGCTATATATGGGCATACAACAGTTTTTTGGTAAAGACAATTTGATAATCTGGACAAAGCTTTAGGGTTTTTCTACATTATAACAAAATCAACTGCTTATTTAGAAAAACAAAATTATTAACTTTCGATGAGATCGATTATTTGTTGAATGATGGTTGATTTACAAACTCTTCTGGTGTTTTGAGGCAAAGCAATAATTGAAGAAATTTCTAGCAAAATATGCATATATAAAATGCCCATTCTTTGATTAGCACCTCTCATAAAAAGCTAGCGTTTATATTCAATCAAATATTGGCGACTAATATACGGTTATACCTCATACCAAATGTACCGTACCTGTCATGATGGAGTGGGTGAAGAAAAGCTGCCATACATGTGTAACTTGTGAACTCAGCATTATTCCAATCGAAAAAGACAACCCACCGACAACAATCGTCATTCTGTAACCATACTTTCTGCTCATCGTTGTTGCTGCTGGACCTAATATAAATAATATATAACTTGTATCAATTACTCACTGTATTCTTGCATAGCAAATACATTTTTCTTCTCAGCAGTAGGCATAGTTTAAGATTAAGGAACTGGTAAACTGTAGTGGTTACCGATCAATTCCAATGCAGCTAATATTAATAATTCTTCATAACTCATTTTAAATGCTACGGCCTTTTAATTTTTGTTGGGGAGAGCGTGAATGGATGGGGTAGGCGTTTCCTGCTGATATTTGTTATTTATTTAACCTATTTACCATGTTTTTTCTTGGCCGCGATGCGAAAATATTTTTTTTACCTTTGTTTGTAGATGAGTATAGAATATAGCTAGGTCCTATATTTATTTCATGTAATTTATATTTCCGTTTCCTAAATCAGTAGCTAAACTTTGTACAGAAATTAAGTTTGCATTTTGTTTATTCCATTTCTGATATTTTGGTTGTTCCGATTTTCGTTATTTTTTTTTTTTTTTTTTTTTTTTTTTTTTTTTTTTTTTTTTTTTTTTTTTTTTTTTTTTTTTTTTTTTTTTTTTTTTTTTTTTTTTTTTTTTTGTTGTTTTGTTTTGTTTTTTTTTTGTTTTTTGTTTTTGTTTTTTTTGTTTTTTTGTTTTTGTTTCTGATGTTTGACGATTTAAATCTAAAGACAAATGAAATGCAATAAATCGGTGCAATCCTGCTCAGAGTCTAGAAAGTATACAGGCCTATTACCTCTATGCCCTAGGCCTAACGTTGTACTTATTTTGCATGAAAAGTGATGTCAGATGTTACGCTGATGTTATGGCATAGTCCTACCATGTCTGGGTGCTATATAAACCCGTTTTACTTTATTTTTATATACGGTACTAGGCCTAACTGTGTTTACCTAGTAATGCTGTGAGTCCAATGCTCAAACTATTAACTGTTCCAACCAATCCTGCGCTTGTGTTGAACTCTTCTTTGATGGAGACCAAGAAAAAACTAAAACACGGAATTGCGCTGCCAATTGAAATGAAAGCAATTGCGTGCATTCCAATAAGAAGAAGAACATCTCTGGAAGTGAATGAGTTTGCCATTCTGTCTGCTTTTTATCACATCTCTAACAACATCAAGTCCATGTTATCCGCCCATCTACAGTTAGACTACAAAAATAGAATGCACATAAAACTTTGTAATTAAATATAGAAACTCTATAATATATTTTTACTCTTTCATTACTTCTGCGTATGGCTAACCTATGACGAAAAAACTGGAAATAAAGTTATAAAATGTTTACTCTTGAATTCAATTTGATCCATGTATAGGTCTATAAGTACATGTATAAGTACATGTATAAGTACATGTATAAGTACATGTATAAGTACGTGTATAAGTACATGTATAAGTACATGTTGTATTTAGGTCTCTGTACCAAAGTATAGCAAGTACGGTATAGTACTGAATTTATACTCGTGCCCTTTGATTGAATCCCAAATATTGAAATAGTATTTTAGTGCTATTTCATAGATTTGTAAAAGTTATACCAAAATCCTACACCATCAATGGATATCTGTCATTGCAAAAGCACATGCAACAAATTGAAACGAACAGTACTGTTTCTTTTTTAAAAAGTACTTGGGATAGATTAGACGAAACTTAGACAACATGATCCCCTAGATGCTATATATATAATGTTCTTACCTTTTTGCAGACTTCTGACATTACAGTAGGCCCTGCTATACCTCGCGTCACGAGTTAGATTTGACTGATGTTTTAGAGTTGCTGAAGCACACAATACTTATTCTTTGTTTGTAGCAGCAGTGCATATAAAACCAAAGTCCATGATCAGCATTTTCCAGGGACACTTGAACAAACATAACGTTGATACGTTTCTTCATGAAGACATAGGCCTGTCCCTATGTTTCAACATCGCATAGGGCCTGTATTACTTACGGCCCTAATCAGATACTGTAACAGTTTTTGCAACAACTATATAAACACCATTGCAATGTAGTACAGCAATTAGGGTATCAATAGTGAGGCCGTGAACAATTCATTCCGAAGTTCGCAGTTGTGTTATATTAGTATGTATGTTTAACTAGTCCTACAACCATATCAGATGTATATTGGAACAAATTTAGTTTGTAATGGGGCCTGTTAAGACAAGCTGTTGGCTTTTTTATAGTCCCTTGATTGATTGATTGATTGATTGATTGATTGATTGATTGGTTGGTTAATTTCTTGATCAATCAACGATTTTTTTTAATCGTTTGTAAATCTGCTCCATCTTATTTAAATGAACACTTCGTTAAAGATCATGAAAAACAATTGATGGCACATTTTATGCCTCTGCTATTCAACTGGAACAGATTACCAAGCGAAATAAGGAACACCATAAACGTTACGATAGTTTATTTAGAAAAATCGTTAAAAACTTTCTATCTAATCAGAGAGACGTGACAGCGCTTCACTCTCTTGTGGGTGCATGATTTTTTTTTTCTTTCGTCTTTGCTTTCAGGACCCCAACGGAAATAAACCTATGTAATTGTTTTTTGGGCTATCCTGGTAAAAATCAACTTTTTCTGTTTTTACCTTTTTTCGTTGTAACAACTCTGCTTTTTTATTTGTTGTATCGGCGACAGTTGTCGGGAAGGTTGAACCTAGTTAACTTTGCCGATTGCTTTGCAGACGAATCGGGGTGACTTCCAGATTACGTCAGGGCAGTTAGCAATGCACCCTGATTCGCCTGCAACGGGGATGAGTCGTACGACGCTGTCTGAGTTGGCCTTCAGCTTGGTTTCTATACAATCGTTACACGCTATCGCCGACAGCTTCAGTGATGCTTATGTGTGGGTCGGATCCGGGAGCCTTCCCGTTTGCGTCGGAAACTGCTCAGTACAACGATTGCAGTTAATAACTGTAGCGATTTTAGTAAGGAAACCAGGCTTATGTTGACGGGGATTTTGTTCTCATTCAAGACTTACTTTTTTTTGTTTAGATCATGCACCTTTGACATTCAGTGAACATGGAGACGGACATTGAAGAAGGATATCACATAGTTTGCAACATGGGGTGTCTAGAAAACCCAGATCTCATATCTCAGATCACATATCTGAGATCTCAAGGTGGAAATAGAACTCTCGACCTCAGATCTCAATTTTCTAGATCTAGATTTCTAGACACCAGAAATCTGAGACAAGTTTTCTCGATCCGTTTTTCCCCGCAATATTGGATGGGTAGTTCATCTGCTTAATGAGTCACAGTGGCCATACGTTCCTTTTATAGTATCGCACAATGAACAAACACTCGCAGCTCTACTGTTTCAAAATTTTATTATAGTTCTGTCATACATTAAAACGCACCTTCCCGGATACATGGTAGATTTATGATGAATATACAAAAACATAATTATACATGACACTGCATCTCTATAAATAATAAACAGTAAAATCTACTATAACTTGTTTAGCAAATATACTGTAAAAAAATACTAGGCCTTTCATGTAACAAGACAACGATACATGTACTAAAATATACGTTTACAACGACGGCATCTCGCATCATTGTCCCGAGGTCTTATTTAATAGCTACTTGCTGTGTTGGATTCTACCTTCTCGTACCATCATACATTTCCAAGCCAGGCCTGTAACCAGTTTTTATGCTTCTTCCAAACCTCTCCCTTTTCACTTAAACCTCGTGCGGACAGAACATTTATATTGTGTTTTATTCTAGTTTAATACTTCAACTATTGCAGATTCTCTTTTTTTTAATAGTGAAAATAAAATATCAAAAGTATATGGTACTGTACGTACAAAACATAGCAAATAATTAATTTTTCGGCTTTAAAACACATAGGCCTATGTATTACACTTGTTTAATGTGTAGACCAGACCTCTATCAACCTACACATTCCTTCACTTACACACAAAAAAAGCTAAATTAGCATTGCAAGTAATACTGTACAACTCAAACTATCGACTATATACTATATAATACTATATACTATATATACTATACTATACTATATATACTATATATACTATACTATATATACTATATAATACTATATACTATATATACTATACTATACTATATATACTATACTATATATACTATATAATACTGTACAACTCAAACTATCGACTATATACTGTTTCTAATACCCGATTTTCTTAGATGCTTTGAAACCGTCTTATGTAGTAGGTATACTTGGCATTTTTCGCAAACGTTCCTCCCCCGTATTTTTACTTAAGCCAAATAAAAAAAATTACTTGTTTAGCGTCACATCACAACACAATTTTAGGTGAGGAGGGGCGGTTTTTTTTGTTTTTTTTTTAATTCTACAGTATCAGTAATCAAATAAAATGTGTTAAAATTAATCATTTTCAATAGGCCACAATAAATATTACACCTAGTTGGTGAAATCATTGTTTTAATTCACTTAAAATAGGTCTATACTTATTTTGATTAGAGTTTCCTGGACAATATTAAATTTTTTTTATTAAAAAAAAATTCCCGCCTCTAAACTTTTTATTTTGCTTGAAAATTCAGGTGGGGGTAGTGACGCTAAACAAGTATATATATATATATATTTTTTTGCCTTACTTTCAATTGTTACCCCTGATGATGACATAATTAATTTGGAAATATTTAATCCCATCACGATGGCGTGCATTTCAATACTTGGAGTATGTATTATACACTACAATAATCACTTCCGCTTGAAATATTTACCACACATAAAACGTGCTACTGTACGTTGTTTATGACTAGTTGAAGTTTTAGATCGACTATAGTTCGTTTTAACGAATACGGGCGTTAGAAACTACCGAATACTCGGGTGCATACTACCGGGGTACTAGCATCGATTGCGTTTGTGTAAACGCATTTGAATGGACCTTCCCGCTAAGCCCCGCCCCTTGGATATTGTTACTAAGGTCCCACAAAACGACAGCGTTAAAACATAACGCAAACACAGTGGCGGTTCCAGAAATGTGTAATAAAGGGGGCCCAGTGAGGGACTTTCACAAATGGAGGGTCTATAACACCTGAGCCCGATGGTTGAGCTAAGAACATTTTTTATTATGGCACCTCTAGATGGCCGGAAATGGTACTCTCGGCCTTTTTTTTTTTTTTTCCTCTTTTTTTTTTTTTATTTTGAAAAATGTAGAGGGAGTGGCGGGTCGGCTGTCCCACCCTTAAATCCGCCACTGAAACACGTGCGTTTTGTTTGGACGGCAACACGTGTGCTTGTTAGACACACGCGTATTCCTGGCCCTGTTCTGATTGGCCATTTGTTAAATTTGATTGACAGGCCGGAAAGGTCAATTACTCTAGTGTGAACCATGACACTCTGGCAGGTTACGCCCACTTAAAAAGTTAAAGAAGATTCATGCAGATACTCTTTTGTATAAACTTCAGCGCACGTAATGCACTATTATACAGTTCAAAATAAATAATTCTACACTTTATAAGAATAATATTAATAAAATCATTTTTATAAAATACAGCACACGTAATAACCTCAACCTATAAGAGATATCTAATAGGCCTAGTACAGTATGTTTACATATGAAAGACTGCTTTTTAGGTAATAACTTGAGTATTTGTAAAGATGGTTTACAGCTTTCAATTCTGTAATCTTTCAATTAATATTTTAAAATTGAAGGCAAAACTCTATATATATCGGAATTACGTAATTTGTATTGATTACGTCATAATAGAAAATCCTCATTGCCAATACCAAAGACGCCAAATATGACAGCCGATTCGAAATCGGTCGCACCTCTGTATTTCGAACTCGCGATCTGTCTCTTATACACATCTAGATGTGTATAAGAGACAGTATATATACTGTTTATACTGTATATATACACTATACCATCAACATCAACTCTTTAAATTGTTTCTTATAATTGATGTTTTACCGTACTTAGTTCTATCACAGATTTTAAATAAGCCCTGATTGCTTGATGCATATTAAAACTTACTGTGATGGGCCTACATTTCTACAAAGATAAAATGCAAGCTAGGTTGGTATAGCCTATAGTAGGCCTATTGCGATTGGATGAAAGTCAGGACTCTCAGACGGTTAGGGCGGTACAGTAAGCCTATTGCGATTGAATGAAAGTTAAAACTCAGACGGCTAGGACGGTACAGATAGGCCTATAACGATTGGATAGAAATCATGTCTCTCAGACGGCTGTAACGGGCGCATTGACGTCAGAATCATCGCTACTACTAAGTCTGGTCCTTTCAGGTTTACAACGGCATTTCATTGCTATTTCCGTCAGAACTAAGATCGTTGTTACAATTCCGTAATTCCCTGCTGCGAAGAAGAACGACAATGTGTATGCTCCCGTACGATCATAGATAGCACCTAATAAAATAAAAATACAGCAATTAACTGAAAAGAATACATGTTAGTTTACATTTTTCATTTGTATATTGTGAGAGCAGCTTAGGGAGTTTATAAGTATATTCCATGTCTTTTAGTCTGTTAAACTCAATATACTGAACTCAATTGACTCAACCAATCATAGGGTGAATGTCTAAGAATGTTTACATTCACAACAAATCTGGAACTCATTGGTCCACTTAAATATTATCGCTCAGTAATTAATAACATCCTACAAGTATGAACTTGTGGAAACACAGTGGTTCTGCGGATGTCATTACTGCCTGATTAAATCCAGGAGTCAGAGCGTCCCATCATTTGTAAAATTTATTGGGTTATTTCCAGTGTAACGGTCAGATCAGAAAACCAGTTTTTAATAATCCTTCCTTTGCAATACACATGCGGATTCAGGGGATGGAAAGCCGGTCCCCCTTCCGCTAATTTTGTCCAAAATTATATTTTTTAAAAATGAAGAAAAAAAAATTATCTTAGAGTGTCATTTTCGTCCATCTACAGGGTGCCATAATCATAAAATTTCCAAACTTGGCCCCAACCATGGTAGGGCTGATGTGGTCAAGGCCCTCGATCTATCAAAATACCCCCTCTATTTCGATTTCCTAGATCCAACACTGCTATAACATAGTACACAAAAATATACGATAGCCAGAAATCACGTTAGTATGACTATTAAAATCGTACAATTGGAACAGAATTTGAAATTTTCCAAACTAAAGTTTTTGCATTATTCAACGCACAATCGCCACGAAAATGAGCTGAACGCATTTCCTGAATTAATCGAAGTGACTGAGCGCTCGTCGGAATGTTTACATTTTCAATTGATATTGGGTCTTTGTTAATTCTGTTTTAATGCACACGTGAGATTAAACGATTCAATAAAACGAGTTCAATGGAACAAAAACAACAACCAAAAAACAAAAAAACAATGACCATCGATTAACAACAAAATAAAACAGTACTCCATGATCTAGGCCTAAGGGAACAAAATTAAATATCTTACCAGCAATGTAACCGCCGAAAATAGATGTTACTCCCGAAGGCACGATGCACAGTCCATAAGCTTTATCAAATTTATCCTTCGGTACAATCATTCGAATGATGGAAGGGATTTGGGGTATGTACATCCCGAAGAAGAGTCCAATTACTGAAGCAATGAACAGCATAGTTGAGAATGTCTGGCATATTCCAAAGATAGCCATGCAAACGGTTACTACAAATATGGAAATGATGAACAGGTTCGTTTCAGATATTAGCTTAAAATATAATGGTATCGCGTTCGCCAGGCGACCGACTAAATTGCCAATACCAAAGACGCCAAATATGACAGCCGATTCGAAATCGGTCGCACCTCTGTATTTCGAACTCGCGATCATGTGCACGAAAAATCCTGAGTAGCCTACACAAATGAAACACAAGGATACGGTCATCACTAAAAGACGTGGGTATTTTTTAAAAATTAGTAAAGACCGTAGGAGTGGTAGGCAACTAAATTTATTTGGGGGTCGTGGGTTAACAATAACAAGTTCTTGCGGTTTATCTTTTTTGTCGTCTTTCTCTTCTATATCTTCGTCTCCACTTTCTTCTTTTCTTTTGTCTGTTGAATCTTTCTCAGAATTCGACATCGGTGTACTGGGATCATCAAAATCTTCTTCCTCTTCATTATCGTACTTCTCTGGTAGTTCAACAGCTGTTGGTTTCTGCATGTATGGATTGAACGATTTCCGGAATATCAGCGCGGAAATTACGACAGAGTGGAGACACAGCGCCCCAATTATACGTATGGCAGCTTTCCATCCGAAGTGATGATCGAGGACAGAACATATCAGCGGGATAACCAGCATACCAAGACCAATAGCAGAGAATAGAATACCGTTACCAAGATTCATTGACTTCTTAAAGTTCATACCGACAAAGAAGACCATTGTCTGAAATGTGATACATACACCGCCACCTACGAATTGAAATGAATACAAATCAAAGTTATTACTGGAAACGCATACAACTGCGTTTACACGTATTAGGTACGGTAATTGAAGAACTAGGCGTAGAGTGTTGTTTGCATTTACGAAAACGCGTCTCTTACTTGCTCTAGCTTTAGTTTCAGGGGAAGAAGGTTTTTTTTCTTCTTTTTCTTTCCATTGACTTAATAATGATCTCATATTTGAGCAAATTTGGTCCTTCACGGTATGTCATCTTGGATTAATATTTTTTAAATAAAGAGTAAATCTTACATTGTGCGACCTATCTTTTTCAACATAGTTAATTTACAGTGGCATCATGTGTAAATATTTCCCATGGTTTGTATTAAAGGATAAAATGACTAATGTGTTATATTCAAGTGAGTGACGGGTAATTAATCAAATCTTCTGCAAACCTGTTAAGAGAGAGTGCGTGAAGAATATTTGCCAAACTTCGGTCACATATGAGCTTAGGATCAGCCCTACAGAATACGATAACGCCCCGACCATGATAGTCACTCGATAGCCGTACAGCCTATTCATAATCGTCGCAACTGGAGCTGAAAAATAAACAAAATGACATGTCGAGTAAATAATAAAATTTACACAAACTTTTCCTGACCCAATATAATATTTTTATTTGGCGCAGCTGCAAGATTTGAGTCCCACGCATAAATTGTCGTAACTCTTCTAATTGAACTACAAGGCGTAAAGAATTTCTTTTTTTTTATGGGACAGAAGGTTCTTGCATTAAATAAATTTTATTGACCGAGTTAAAGACACGTGTTGAAACTTCCGATTTGTTCGACTGACAGTTTTTAAATGTCAACAAACTCTGATAAATAAAACACAAAGGAACATTCTTTGCAACAAACTACTCGCCAGAATGTTAACATTGAAAGATTATAGATAGGTGAATTGGACTGATCAAAACAATAAGGAAATAAGTTTCACGTTTTTATCCTCTAGACGTCTTTGGAATTTGATTTAACAAATATATAATAATTGTGTAGGCTAAGAATTTAATATCTAGCAATAGAACCAAAAGTAAACACACTGCGCGAAATGATGGTCTATATTTGCATAACGAACAATCGATCATCATATTATGTTGTTTAACATTGGTAAACTTTTTCTGTATGTTGTATGTTGTATAGGTTTTAATCTCTGGTTAGCCAACGTAGTTAAATTTATTTGTCTGTGTACAGAGGTAGCTTGATACTATTTTTGGTGTTCAGTTCTGCTTCATAAAGACAATTACATATTGTAGTAGAGCTGTTTTTTTTTATATCGCGAGAAAAACAGTTCTGTTTTTTGGATCCGAATTAATGTTATATTGAATTTAATCAAAATCACAAATCGACACCTCTGATTCGTTAGTGTTCGCAAAACTATATATATGATACAAATCTTTCATATAGTAGTTGTAAAATATGTTATTGATATGCAATTGTATACGTATCTTGTAGACACCAGTAGCAGTTGTAGGATGCGCGTTAGTTTGCGTAGAGGATTCCCGTGACAAT